AACAACAAATAAAAAAATGCAGGAAAACGTGATATTATTTCATGAAATAAGATAGTAGTATCTTGTAAAAGTATAAAGAAATGATCAAGAAATGATAAACTAAATGTAAATTGTATCTTTCTGAAATCATATGATACTTCAAATTAAAAAAAAAGTTGAAGATATTTTATATACTTAAATGGCCAATACCAATATCAACTTTGGTTATCATTTAAAAAATTAAATTCAGTTTATAGTAAGTTTATAGTAAGTGTATTGTAGTGAGAAAACCAGAACGGGTTCAAACAGAAAGATTTTGGAAGCAGAGAAAACTGTAAACATTGCAATCAGCAAGACTTTACCAAATGACAATACTAAAACTAAAAATCCAGGCTAAAAATAATGCATTGGTACTTTAATTCAGTCACGGAACCGCGATATCGCGGGTGTGTTCCAGTATAATATATATTTTCAATATAATATATAGGCCCCCTCAACTTATCGTTTTGTCGCTTCAGAATGCACAACTTCCGGAAAGAACTGCACGGTGGTTATCCCGGTATCCGAGTAAATTCCCATCTAAAAAGAGAAAAAAAGAAAGACCCTTTTGAACATAAAGTGATTTAAAAGATTTAAAAAATAATAAAATTGAGAATGGAAATGGGGAATGTGTCAAAGAGACAACAACCCGACCATAGAGCAGACAACAGCCGAAGGCCACCAATGGGTCTTCAATGCAGCGAGAAACTCCCGCACCCGAAGACGTCCTTCAGCTGGCCCCTAAACAAATATGTATACTAGTTCAGTGATAATGGACGTCATACTAAACTCCAAACTGTACACAGGAAACTAAAATTAAAAATGATACAAGACCAACAAAGGCCAGAGGCTCCTGACTTGGGATAGGCGCAAACATGCGGCGGGGTTAAACATGTTTTTTGAGATCTCAACCCTCCCCCTATACCTCTAGCCAATGTAGAAAAAAACAAACGCACAACAGTACGTACAGTAAAACTCAGTATAAGAGAAGTCCGAGTCCGATGTCAGAATAGGAAACAAAAGAAAATAAACAAAATGACAATAATACATAAATAACAACAGACTACTAGCAGTTACTGACATGCCAGCTCCAGACCTCAATTAAACTGATTACAAGATTATGTCTTCATCATATGAATATCAGGCACAATCCCTCCTGTTAGGGGTTTAGTATTATACCGTCATAAAATATATGAGAAGAACATAACCCGTGTCATGCCAACAACTGGTTTTAGAATAAATGTGTTTAATTCCGATGCAAAGACCCTATAAGTGAATTAATATTAAAGCCAAAATAAATATGCAATCTATAATGACCTGACAACAGTATCGTAACTATATCCCTTCTTAATAAGTCTATTTAAAGGTTTTGTTAGCTTTTGAGGTGAATACTGACATTTTTGTGCTTTGTAAAGAATATCACCATAAAAGATTGGATGTGAAATACCCGAACGTATAAGATATCTGCATGTTGAGTTATATTTACGAATGATGTCCTTATACCGATGATAAAATTAAGTAAATGTTTTGACTAGTTTATGATATCGAAAACCCTGGTGTAATAATTTTTCAGTAATACATAAATTTCTATCGCTAAAATCTAATACGTTGTTACATACACGAGCGAATCGTACAAGTTGAGATATATAAACACCATAAGATGGTGACAAGGGAACGTCACCATCTAAAAATGGATAATTAACGATAGGAAATGAAAAATCATCTCTTTTAGCATAAATTTTTGTATTAAGCTTCCCGTTAATGATATAGATATCAAGATCGAGGAAAGGACAGTGATCATTGTTAGTATTAGCTTTATTTAAAGTAAGTTCAACAGGATAAATTTCTTTAGTATACATACTGAAGTCGTCATTATTGAGAGCCAATATATCATCCAAATATCTAAAAGTATTGTTAAATTTTTGTATCAGATGTTGTTTCGATGGGTCTTTGCTGATTTTAGTCTTAAATTGTAACTCATAACAATACAAAAACAGGTCCGCAATAAGTGGTTCATAATTAGTCCCCATTGGAATTCCGATAACTTGACGATACACGGAATCTCCAAAGCGAACAAAAATGTTATCAAGTAAAAATTCAAGGGTAGATATAGTATCAAAGCATGTCCAATTGACATAGTTCTTTTGTTTGTTGCTACTAAAAAATGACCTTAAAGAGTTTGAACATATGTATTCGCATTCCGACTTTTTAAATGCCCATTTAATTAGGTGTGTAAATTTTTTCTTAATAAGAATATGAGGAAAAGTGGTATATAGGGTAGAAAAATCAAAACATTGAACCGATTCAAAATCACCAATATATGCATGCAATTTATCAATTACTTCCAACGAGTTTTTGACACTCCAAAAGTAATTAATTCCACTATTTTCAAAGGCTTTATTTGAACAATTTATTATCAGATTTTTTATTGTACCAAGTGAACTAGTAAGGAGAATAGACAATTAAGTAGTGGAACAATGACTTGAGACGAAATAAATCTATATTTGTAAGGTGATTTGTGTAGCTTCGGAAGCCAGTACATAGTTGGGACTTTCATTGTATTTGGTTCTGCTTGTAAAGAAGTAGCTAATAGTTTATGTTTGTTACAGATATCGTTTTCTGAAATTGAAGTCAGTTGGAATGTTGGTGAATTGGTGATTCCCTTTTGCAGAACCTCAATGTAAAATTTACGTCAAACTATAATAATATTATTAGCAGCTTTATCAGCCGGGACAAAAACAAATTCCTTGGCTAGTTCTTTTAGTTTATGTTTGATACGAGAAATAGGATTTTTATGGTTGTTGTTAAGAGTAAAATATTCTTTAAAATGTTGTATACGTATATCAACTATCTTCATTACTGAATTGAAAAAAGAGTCCAAAGATTTTTTGTCAGCTTTATTCCCGTTTTATCCATTTCAAACAATAAGCACGAAGTGAGTCGTTGATGATATTACGACACTCATTCCAATTAATAATTGACGGGGGACGATATTTAGGTCCTTTACTGAGGAATGATTTTAACTCTCGGTCGTGACCGATGTTAAGGTCTCCTGTTATAACATGGGAAATGGGGCCATAAGTGTATTCTGAATTACTACAATTACATGACGTAGGTGTATTTTCACTGATATTTATATCTTTACAGACTTGGCTATAATTAAACACACATTTCCGGGTAGATTTCTGGTAAATATAACAAATAAGAGGGAGTTCAGTATTATCAAAATATCCAGGAATTTGTTCTTTAACAGAATGGTCGTTAAAAATACCGGCAATATTTACAAAATCAAAACCTTTATTGACAAACTTAATTTTAATAAAATGTTTTTTATGATCTGCAGGGCGATCAATTTTGGGAACCAGTTTAGAATAACAATATGCCATTATAATTTGAACGATTTAACTAGTTGTTTTTAATATTTTCAAATGCATTTCCCTCCGAACTTATTATTTTTAACCTCTAGATATATTTTTAAATCTGACATTGGTCAAAGTAATCTTAAGGATTGGTTAACTTTTTGTTATTAAAAGTATCCATTACATCAGCTATTTTATATCACAATTGAATTTTGTAAGTGATATTATTAAAAACTATAAAACTATTCGTATAAACACACTTCCCTGTGAGTTTAATACTTATTGTATGTGAAAGCTAATTTTATTTTGTCATACAATATTTAAGTGTTTCTGAATCTTAATTGGGCTAGTTCGAAGCATGCATAATACATAAACAATCATTAATGACACTGATTATAAAGCACAAAGTACTCAAAGAATTTTCCTCAATTCTTTATAAATTGCTGTTTGTATATTTTGAGAATTATGGCTTTGAAAGCAAATGGTTGATATTTGTTAAAAGTAGTTTTGATAATTGTGCTCTATCAAATGTATGGAGATCTCAGTCTCATTTTTCCACAGATTGGATAGAAAACTGTGTAGAACTTAGACTTACAGACCAATTTAAGCAAGAATGGTCGTCTTACATTTTTAATTCAAGTAAAACAATTTGCTATAGAATATTTAAAAATGAGTTCTGTTTTGAACGTTATTTGTTGTCCGATACTACCCTCATATCTGATGTATTTTTTATGTAAATTCAGATGTGGCTGTCATCGTTTGCCCATTGAATCGGGCAGATGGCATAAAATTCAAAGAGACGAAAGAACCTGTAATGTATGTGACTCAAATGAAATAGGTGATGAGTACCATTATATTCTAGTCTGTAACTTTTTTAGTTCAGAAAGGAAAAAATTATTACCGCAATATTGTCAAAAAAATGCAAATACTGCAACATTTAATCAGTTTAAAAACTATAAAACTATTCGTATAAACACACTTCCCTGTGAGTTTAATACTTATTGTATGTGAAAGCTAATTTTATTTTGTCATACAATATTTAAGTGTTTCTGAATATTCATTGGGCTAGTTCGATGCATGCATAAAACATAAAACATCAATAATGACACTGGTTATAAAGCACATAATACTCAAAGAAGGAAAGTTTAACCTTAAATTCGATTTAACAGAGACAATCTGAGAAATGTCCTCAATATCGAAAACCATACTAAAATGCATAATATAAAAATGAATTTAATGAGTCAAGTTTCTTATTTGGAACAAACGCATGAACATTTTGCTTTTTTTGCAATTATAACCTCTTCCGATTTATCTCAAGCAGTGAAATAACAAATATACATAGAGATAGAACGATCAGAATCAGCACGGGAAAATAATTAAATTTAGTTGTAATAGATAACAAAAACATATACAGTCCTAAATTGCTACCATATACGTCATTTGATCTCTGACTGGTTGATATTTGTCACAATGGTAAACATACAGTACCACATCTTCTTCTTTTTTACTAATCAATACCGTTCCAAAGCAAAAATACTAATAGATACTACATAAACATACCAGTTATATCTATCCACGAGTACAATTACAAGTGGCCCATGACTAAGTCTTACTTTTTATTTTTAGTTTTAACTGTCCAAGAGTATGCCAAGTGTTCTAATGCATCAGTTTCTGAGAACCTTCCAGGTAAGCTACAGTGAATACATAGATGATATTCTATTTCGTTCATAAAATCTTCAAACAAAGTATATAAGATCTAATGCCCTAAAAGAACTAATAATTCTTTATGTGTCTGGAAACCAGTGGATTATTCAGATTTCTCACTGCATTGCTTTTTTCTAGAATTCACCTCATATAAAGAGTCTTAAGCAAATTTCACTAGATGATTCGGAAAATACGGATATTGTTTTGTTGAAATATAAATTAAGGAATGTATCTCACTCACGCTCTTACTCGTTGTCTGGGTTAAGCTTCAAGGTTGTTCTTGTTGCTTTGATCAGCTCTGCAACCTTTGTATGAGGTTTGGTATTTCAAGTATTAGTGCCTCGAGCATCACTGATCAGAAATTAATTGTTGAAATGCGCCTCCGGAGAGGTAACAACTGATAAATTGTAGTAATATTCAGTTGGGAAATTTAAAGTCGGTCGACAGCAGTACCAGTAAAGTAATATATGGCGGGGAACATTCCGCTTGCAAAGACATAGTCTAGTAATAGATAAATAAAAATTAAGATACAGACTTCACAGCAAAAGTCTAAATAATTTTCTCTTAAAAACTTGATTCTCATGGGGATTCGACCACCTGTATATAAGAATATTACAATAATAACATGTCCAACAGCCGACAAATAATTTTTTTTTTCTAAATGAAAAATACTAATTGACTATAACTATCTTACTATAATTCTTGAACTGACCAGTAAATAATACTATTATTTTAAAAGAGATACGATATATATATATATATATATATATATATATATATATACAATGTATGTAAAGGATCTTCTATTTATTTTCATTAGTAATATCGATCCAGAAGAAGAAAATAATACATTATTATGTGTATCTGTTAAGGGCACTCCTGAACTATTTTAAGATATAGTTTAGGTTAGGTGAGGTCAACAATACACGTGCATGTATCTGTGCCGTATATAGAATCAACTAATCAGCATACGAGATCTTGTAATCACGTGGAGGCAATTAGATAGAAATATTTGACTGATAAAATACACATACTTATCTATCACACAGTGCAGGATCTATTTTAACGCTATAACATAGGAAGTAAAGGACTGTTTTGTCTTGTTTTTGTAAAGAAACAGTAATAATCATCTCTCAAATAGAGATTGATAATACAAGTTATTCTCAAATAGAATAACAACATAAAGTAATCTCTCAAATAGAGACTGCTTTAATAGAATAGCAACAATAAAGTAATCTCTCAAATAGAGACTGCTTTAATAGAATAGCAAAAATAAAGTAATCTCTCAAATAGAGACTGCTTTAATAGAAGAGCAAAAATAAAGTAATCTCTCAAATAGAGACTGCTTTAATAGAATAGCAAAAATAAAGTAATCTCTCAAATAGAGACTGCTTTAATAGAATAGCAAAAATAAAGTAATCTCTCAAATAGAGACTGCTTTAATAACTAATTTGTTCTCAAATAGAATAACAAAAACAGATATTTAATCTCTCAAATAGAGTATTAAAAGCAGTGAGCAAACGTTTTACATACAAAAGACATAAAAATCTAAAAGAGTATTTAACGAATTCAAAGAAGAAAAATGATATAAACAGACAAAATCAAACAAAAGATAAAAATGTCATGCACAATAAATAAATTGTGAAGAGCTTAAATAAAAAGAGGAAAAAAATACCAAAAAAAACAGAAATAAGAAAAAAGATAAAAACGATTGTATAAACAGGTGTCGTATCCCCATAAGAGAAATCAAATTGAAACTATTCTACATATTACAAGAAAGGAAACATATAGGCTAGGAATACCTCATGAGGATAGGCCTAGTTCTACATGACCATAACCGAAACACCCTTTTCAGTATTAGAAACCCAGACCTGATCTGGTTTCCTATTCTAAAAATACACACACAATAATTATACTACAAACATGCAAGTGTGAATTTCTAGAAAAATATGAAAATAAATGCAGAAGAATGTATTCCATAACCAGAAATATTTATCATACACTGAGTTTACCAGCTCTAAATTACTCTAATGCACATAGAAAATGGAATTAATTACGAAGGATTATAATAAGATATACTGGATTGGTCCTGGACCCGATTGATTTTGATATACATATACATACCACCCATTCAGGAGAAACTCGGGATATAAACCGAAACATGCAAATAATTCAATTGAAAATTATCTATTTGCGACAAAAGTGGAACTCAGCAAATTGAAAATGAACAAAATTAGAGACAATCTAAGTAAAAAGGAAAGAATAGCTTTAAACAATTTACGAGCGAATAAAAATATTATAATTAAAAAAGCTGATAAAAACTCAACCACAGTCGTTCTTGATAAGACATTATACATTAAACAGGCAATGGTTTTACTCAATAACAACATACATTATGAACCAATCCAGGAGTGTCATACAGAAGATATTTCAGAAACTATAAATGGAATGCTGAAAAAATTACATGATAATAATTACCTTGATAACACTACATATGAGTATTTAACAAGATACGAAAATAAAAGACTAGGAAGATTATATATACTACCAAAGATACACAAATTAAATCAAACTGATCGAGACAAAATAAAAGCAAACAGTGAACACTTAAATGAAGTTCAAATCCCTGGCAGACCAATTGTATCGTTATGCAACAGTCCTGTTAAAAGAATTGGTCAATTTATAGACTATTTTCTCAAACCAGTTGTAAGCACACTTTGGACATATACAAAGGACACGAGCGCTTTTATCAACAAAATTGAAAGTGTAAGAGTACCTAAAAATATCATATTATGCAGTTTTGATATTTCGAGTATGTACAATTCACTCCCACACAAAGAAATAATTGAAGCGGTCGATAGAGCATGGCCAAAAATGCTCGAAATTAAATATAATATACCTCTGCCACCTAAGAATTAAATACTCGAGCTGTTGAATTACGTACTTACAAATAATGAATTTGAATTTAATGACAAAATATTCACAAACAGAGATGTGGGATTCCTATGGGAAACCCAATGAGTCCTAGTTTAGCTGATATTAGAATGTTTGAAATAATTTCAAAAATACTTGAGTTATTCCCGTTTAAAAACAATATCACTCATTTATCAATTTATCGGGACGATGGCTTTGTCCTATTTAATTCCAGTGAAGATAATCTTATGGTTTTCTTCGACATCGCTAATACTATTCACCCATTAATTAGATTTACACATGAGATATCATCAGAAAGTATACAGTTTCTAGACATAACTGTCTTCAAAGGTGAACGATGGGAAAAAAAGCAAATTTTAGACGTCAAACTATATAGAAAACCAACTGATAATTTCCAATACCTGGAACGAACATCAACCCACCCTACATCCGTATTTAAAGGATTCATTACTGCAGAAATTATTCGTTTTATAAGATCTTGCAATAACCTAAATGACTTCAATAAAGAAGTTAAACTGTTTAAGTCTAAACTTCTTAAAAGAGGACATTACGAAAATGAGATTGACAACATTATAACTAATACAACAAAACGAGAAAGGAAACAAACTTTGAAAAACAATTATAAAAATAAGAAAGCGGCTCCACCGCTCGTTTTTGCAACAAGATTTAACCCAGCATTTACAGGAATCAGAAGAGCTTTAAGGAAACATTGGCACCTAATCGAACAAAACAGAAATACAAAAACTATGTTTCCAAAACCACCGATTATTGGGTACAAAAGACATAAAAATCTAAAAGAATATTTAACGAATTCTAAAATGGAAAATGATATAGTCGTATAAAATCAAATAAAAGATAAAAATATCACACACAATAAAATTACAGAACAGCTAAAATAAAGAGAGAAATAAATAACAAAAAACAGAAAGAAACAAAAAAGAAAGAAACGAACTAGAACGTATGAACAGGTGTCGTATCCCCATAAGGGAAATCAAATTGGAACCATTCTAAATATTACAAGAAAGAAAAATATAGGCTAGGGATACCTGATGAGGATAAGCCTAGGTCTCATGACCATAACCGAAACACCTCCTTTAATATTTGAAACACAGACTAAATCTGGATTTCTATTCTAAAAATACACACACACACAACAATTATACTGCAAACATGCAAGTGCAAATTTCTTAACAAAATATGAAAATAAATGCTGAAAAAATATATTCCGTAACAAGAAACAGTTATGATACACATTGTACATAAAAAATGGACTTAATTACGAAGGATTTTGATAAGATATACTGGATTGGTCCTGGACCCGACTGATTTTAAAGCGACATTTTATTGGTTCATCATTTAATAATCATAAACCTACCATGCATCTTTTCAAACAGACAAATATAAACAATGGCGTATAAATCTTTTTTTTTTTATTTGAATATCAAAAATTTAAAAAAAATGACAAAATTTAAATATTTCAGTGGCAACGTTCTGTACCAACAGCGAAGCAGAAGGGGTGCGTATAGTTTTAGAAGGATACTTTGCTAATACTATCCCAGACAAGGTTTGTTCATGTGTAGCACAGAGAGGTCAAGCACAGAAGATTGTATTCTCGAATGTCAACTTCCTTCAATCTCCTATTCAGGGTGGTTACTGGTGTGGAAGTAAGATTATCGCCAAACAAGACAATGGACCGAGTAACCATATGTCGTGTAGAGTAGTAGGATCATTGGATCTTCAGGATAATAATCTTATACAGATAAGCCTATGAAAGGAATTACTACCCAAAGATACCAGATATTGTGCACTGGTATATTTTGGTAAATAAAAATATTTAAAAAAAACCAGTTACAATAACCCAATCATCAAAGTGCTTCTTTCCTTCATCAAGAATTTAACTTTCCTTCATCAATATTTTAACTTTCCTTCATCAATATTTTAACTTTCCTTCATCAATATTTTAACTTTCCTTTATCAATATTTTAACTAATAAATCCTACTCGTTAGCTTTTGTCCGTGTCTGTAGTTATATTTTAGATTTCAATTAACGTTATCTAAGTTAAACACCTATCTGTTCTATGTTCCTTTGGAATTTCAATCAAAGATGAAGAACTGGATCTTCCATCACTGTATTGGATACCTAAACTACATAAGTGTCCTTACAAACAACGGTATATTGCTGGGTCTTCCAAGTGCTCCACGAAACCTCTTTCTAAATTATTAACACCTATTTTATCAGCAATCAAAGCCGGGCTCCAAAGTTATTATTCTAGAGGTGGCGTGAATCAGATGTGGATACTAAAAAATTCCAAAGATCTTTTAGAGTACATACAATCTAAGACTCTCTCATCTTGCAATAGCATTAAAACATTTGACTTTTCTACACTTTACACAAGTATTCCCCATTCCAAACTAAAAGACAAATTGAAAGAGTTGGTATTACTTTGTTTCACTAAAAAGAATGGCGAACGTAGATACAAGTATCTTGTCTTGGGGAGGGATAAATCCTACTTTGTAAAGAATCACTCTGATTCAAACAAAAAATTCTCTGAAACTGACATTATCAAGATGCTTGATTTCTTGATTGACAACATATTTGTTACGTTTGGAGGACGTGTTTTTCAACAGACTGTCGGAATTCCAATGGGAACCAATTGTGCCCCTCTTCTTGCCGACTTGTTTCTTTATTATTATGAGGCTGACTTCATACAGGAACTTCTTGGGAAGAAAGATAAGAAGTTAGCAATGTCCTTTAACTCTACGTTCCGCTATATAGATGATGTTCTCTCACTAAATAGTTCAAAATTTGGTGACTATGTTGAACGAATCTATCCCATCGAACTAGAGATAAAGGATACTACAGAAACAGTTAAGTCTGCCTCATATCTTGACTTACATCTGGAAATTGACAATGAGGGTCGGTTGAAAACAAAACTTTACGACAAAAGAGATGATTTCAGCTTCCCAATTGTGAACTTTCCATTTCTAAGTAGCAACATTCCAGCAGCGCCTGCATACGGAGTATATATCTCCAAATTTATACGTTATTCTCGGGCTTGTGTTTCCTATCATGATTTCCTTTATAGAGGATTGCTGCTCACAAGGAAGCTATTAAACCAAGAGTTCCAAATGGTGAAGTTGAATTCATCCCTTCGTAAATTTTACGGAAGCCATCACGAGTTGGTTGACCGTTATGGAATAACCGTTTCACAGATGATATCGGATATTTTCCTTATGTCGTAACTACAATACCCTTCCCTTTTCACGAATGTGACTTACCGAATTAGACTATTTACCGGATTTGTAATAACATAAGCAACACGACGGGTGTCACATGTGGAGCAGGATCTGCTTACACTTCCGGAGCACCTGAGATCACCCCCAGTTTTTGGTGGGGTTCGTGTTGCTTAGTCTTTAGTTTTCTATGGTGTGTCATCTGTACTATTATTTGTCTGTTTGTCTTTTTATTTTTGGCCATGGCGTTGTCAGTTTGTTTTCGATCTTTGAGTTTGACTGTCCCTCTGTAATCTTTCGTCCCTCCTTTCTAAATAAGTAAGTCCGTGTTAGTTACAACAAACAATCTTAAACTTTTACTGTTTTATTTCATTGACACAAAGAGTTGGTTTATAAGTTTGGCTGTACAAATAATAAAATTGAGAATGGAAACGGGGAGTGTGTCAAAGAGACAACAACCCGACCAAAGAGCAGAAAATAGCTCAAGGCCACCAATGGGCCTTCATCACAGCGAGATTATCTCGCACCCGGAGGCGGGCTTTAGCTGGTCCCTAAACAAAAATGTATATTTGTTCAGCCTTATTACAAACGGGTTATCACATCCTTATCTTACGGTGATGTTGTCAATACAGCCCGTTAATATAGATACGATCCATGTAAACTTATAAGTCCTTTCAAATGTTATTCTAAAAGTGAATTATTATTATTATTATTATTATCATTATCATTATCATTATCATTATCATTATTATTATTATTATTATTATTGTTATTATTATTATTATTATTATCAGTCTTTAAAATTTTACGAAACAATCTATATTTCTATCAAATGCAGTTAGATAACTCTAGATAGAAACGGCAAAGGATTATTATCTTTTACTTTATCCTGAAATAATGACCAGAGCAAAATATTTCAGGGTCATCATGTTTTCGGCTACAAAATATTCAGCAATAATGTATTATGTCCTGAAGAACAAGACATACGAAAATCTTTACATTTCTTTATAGACAATAACTGAACATAACATTCTGACTGAATGTATATTTGAATTGTTTTTCTACTTTTTTTGTTTGTTCAATTGATCTATCATGTTTTATTTTTCACTCTCCATCTGGTGGCAATGATGAATGTCTTTAGAATGTCTTTGTTTTTTAGACACCGACGAACCCATAAAAATATCCTGCTTTTCAAACTATGTAACAACAACTTCAGTAGACGAAAAGTAAGGAGATAGGTGTATATAATGTGGTGATATACATAGAGACTGTGGGGATAGATATAGAGAGTATTGTGGTAATTATAGAGTGTGGTGATTGATATTTAAAGTAAGGTGATAGGTGTATATAATGTGATGATATACATAGAGACTGTAGAGATAGATATAGAGAGTATGGTGATAGATATAGAGACTGTAGCAATAGATATAGAGACCATGGCAATAGATACAGAGAATGTGGCACTTGATATACACTCGTTATTTTATTTGAAATAAGATGTACCTTTTTCTTTTCCTCCAATTTCACCAATTACCTCTAAATGCCTTTTTAAAAAATCTTGTTTCGTATTTCTGTAAGAAAAAATCCAAATATAAATAATAAATTTGATAATTGCTACATCAAGTCATTATAAGTTTACAAGTTTATACAAACATATATCAGTGGAAATTGCATATCTGCATATCTCCTTCCACTGTAAATAATATATTGACCAGGATATTTCCGTCACTTATAGAATATACAACAATAGTATACAGTCTGGTGAAAAATATATACAGAGTGATGATAAATATAATCAGTGTGTTGATATATATATATATATATATATATATATATTATACAATTATAGCCTTTGTATGAGGTCGATACGAGGTTATATAGACCTAAGAGAAGCATATTGACTGAGGACGAAGTCCGAGGTCGATATGCTTCTCTGGGTCGATATAACATCGTATTGACCTCAACCAAAGGATACAATTGTTATATTATTAATCAACAACTATTGTATGAACAATGTAAAATTGGGGATTTCTAGAATCTATTTTTAGTAACATGCTGTATGCCCTGTGCAATATGCTGTTTTTGACCTACGAAAAGCTAAACACAACAGTATTGGCGTGCAAACTGAGCAAATACAAATGTACATGTGATCAAGTTTTAACGAATCACAAATCCTTAAAAATATTCGATTAATGATATATATATATATATATATGGAAGGTTGTGATAGATATGAGCAGAGTGGTGATAGATATATATATAGATACAGAATGATGATAGATATATATAGAGTTATTTAGACGAATTATATATATATATAAACAATATGAGGTGTTGACAGATATATACAGTGTGGTAATATATAAATATAAATATGATAAAGTGGTGATACATAGAAAAAGAGTGGTGATAAGTGAGGACATATATATAGTGTGGTGATTTCTAAATACAGTGGTGAAGGATATACAGAATAGTGATACGATATATACAATGTGGTGATATATATGTATACTGTGTGGTGACAGATATAAACAGTGTGGTGATTGGTTTAAACAGTGTAGTGGTAGATATATAAACAATGTGGTGATGGATATATACAGTGAGTGCGGTGACAAGTATCAATAGTGTGTTGAAAGCTATATTAAGTGTGGTTATATGTACTAGTAGTGTTGTGATAGATATATACAGTATGGTGGTTGATATATTCAAGCGTGGGAGATATCCGCTATAAATCAGAATAGTTGGTAGACCTGAATGAACAAAAGTTGGGTATTTGGTAAATAATAAAACCTGGATCAATCCAATTCTTTCCTCCAGATACATCGATTGTCTGTACAGTTATATTTTCATGAATCAGCAATAAAAGATCAAAATGTAAAGCATTGTTCTTTTCAATGTATACCTTTTTCCTACTTCCTTTCCATCAGAATCTATTCAGTTCCATTGTAGAATTGCAATCTGGAAAAATACCCATAAAGAATAACATTAAAAATTCAGCAAATCAAATGACATTCTACCATATTAACAAACAATTATATAAAGCCCATGCTAACTTGCTAACATATATAAAAGCCATTTTTCACTTGCTAACATATAGGTATTCAAACTTTAATAAATAAAAACAATATGTAATGAGTATGTAAATAGATATAAATAGCACAATGAAAGACATATTTATTATTGAGATTGTGATGATAAATACATAGTGTGAAGAGTGTGACAATAGATATACAGTGTGTGGTGATAGAAATACAGATTGTGATGATAGCTATTGGGAGTGTGGTGTTGGATATATAAAGTGTGGTAATAGGTATAGTATGGTGATCATAGATATGTAAAGTGTGGTGTTAGATTTGAACAGTGAAGTGATAGATGTATATAGTTGGGTGATGAAATATAAAGTGAGGTGATAGATAAATAGTGTGGTGATAGATAAATTAAATACAGTGATGAAATATAGTAAGGTGATATAGATTTATAGTTAGGTGATATATATATATATAGTGTGGTGAAAATATATACAGAGTGGTGATAGATATAAATATAAACACCTTTGGTTGTAAATATATACAGTATTGTACAAAGTGGTGATTTTATACAGAATGGTGATAAATATATACAGTGGTGTTAGATATGCACAGTGTATTGATAGAAATATAGAGTAGTAATAGATTTAAAGAATGGTGATAGATATATATAGGGGTGATAGATATATTCAGTGTGGTGATACTAATATAAAGAGAGGTGATAGATAAAACAGTGATGTGATAGATAAATTAATCATAAACTTGTAGAAAATAATGGTATAATTGTACCCCTTGATAAAACTAATTTATACATATATTTATTCAACAAGTTTGAAGAATTGTCTTAGCCGTGTGATATGACTTTTGTTATCAACTGCTTCCGGTATATATCAACTGTTTCCGGTTTATATCAACTGCTTTCGGTTATTATCGCATGCCTTTCTTTAACGTAATCGCAAAGCATTTCGACGTCATTCTGCAAATTCGGAAAATAAAGCTCAGTGGTACATTTAAGTGAAAAACATAGCTAAGTAGAATAATAGCAAAAGAAATAATACAATAAATGATTTTATAAAGTTTTAAAAACGTTTTCATGTCTGTATGGCTTCTGCTGAAGTATATGATAAAAAGAACATAACATGTCATTTTTCATATCAGACCCCTTATCAGCCCATGGTCAAAATCATCCCTCGAGACTGTCGGCTCTCGGGCTGATAAGGGGTCTGATATGAAAAATGCCATGTTATAATCTATATAAATAAAGTGAGGTGGTAGATATACAGTGAGGTGATAGATATATAAAGTGTAGTGATGCATATATATAGTGAGGTGAAAGAGAAAACAGTGAGGTGATAGATATATAAAGTGAGGTGGTCGATTATTAATGTTAGGTGATAGATATATGAAGTGTGGGGATAGACATATAAAGTTACTTGAAAGATAGAGTGAGGTGATGAATATAAACAGTGAGATCATAGATATAAATAGTGAAGTCATAGATATATATAGTGTGGTGAAAAATATATACAGAGTGGTGATAGATATAAACATAACCACCTTTGGTGGTAGATATATACAGTGTTGTACAAAGTGGTGATTTATACAGAATGGTGATAAATACATACACTGGTGTTATATATATTCAGTACATTGATAGATATATAGAGTGGTGATAGATTTGTAGAGTAGTGATAAATATATTTAGTGTGGAGATATTAATATATAGTGGTGATGGATATATACATTGGTGATTTAAAGTGTAGTGATAAATAAAGTGAGGTGATAGATATATAGTGAGGGGATATTTACGGGATGTATATATTATAAAGTGTGGGGATAGAAAGATAAAGTGAGTAGATGAATATTATACAGAGTGGTGATAGATATATAAGCGGTGGGATGATAGATATATACAGTAGTGATAGATGTATGCAATAGTGATATATATATATATACAGTGGTGATATATGTATGCAATGGTGATAGATATATACAGTGGTGATATATGTATACATTGGTGATAAAAAATAAATAGAATAGTTATATATATATATATATATATATATCAAATACATCGCGGTGACAAGTATAAACAGTGTGGTGATTGATATCTACTAAATAATGGGGGGGGGGGGGGGGGAGAGATTTTTTCTGTTTTGATAATTTACTTTCATATGATATCCTTACTGTGATTCGTCAGAGGTCCAAATAATTCTTGTTACCGTTATAATTTTACGTGATTTGTCAAAGTCCCCGTTGACTTTTTTATTGTCTTAAAGAAAGTGAACATTTTATTGTCAGGTTGGAAAAATTACCATTAACATCATTTGACAAGATTTGTTACCATTATTTGTCATGAAGGTAGCCCAAATACATGTACAAGGGTAGTAAAGCCTTTTATCGTCAGACGTCAAAGATTCATTTTCGGCTACCGTTAGCTTCAAATTGGTTACAAATTTACCGTGATTTGTCAAAATATCCTTATTGTTATTCGTCAGAGATCTCAAATATTTATCATTACAGTTATTTTGGGGAAAAAATAACGTGAGTAGATTTCTTTTCATCGTCTAAAAGAAACTGTACATTTTATCGTCATGCACCAAAAATTACTGTTAACGTCATTTGGCAGGAATTTTTACCGATATTCGTCATGAAGGTACACCCATTACTACCCTAATGAACGACCCCAAGCAATCATTTTTAAAATCATCCTGGCCTCCCCAAGAAAATCAACTGGTCGTCTCCTAAGAACACTTCACTGACCTGACTCCTACACATGAAGGATATTTATGGTCTGTTGAACCAGAGCACATTTTGTAGTGGAAAAGGGAAAGGGGGTTGGGGGGTTGGGTTGGGAGTTGGGGTGAATGCATCTCTTCCTTTAAACTGTCTTGCATTCAAATATGATGTATGTTTTCATTGTTTCAATGCAACATTTTTCATACCTTTCGCATGTTTGTTTTTTAATGTTTTATGCGTTATGTGTGCTATTAGGGACTGGAAAGAGGGTCACTTCAGCTTTTCGCCGATACAAGTAAATAAATGCGTACAAATCTATCTCCAAATAGAAGATTTTTCAAAAATGAAAGTACGAAATTCGGAGGGCGTTTCTTGCGCATGCGCACACAGCTCGGTGAGAGTTACGGTGACTGGATCTATAACCTTGTATATTATATACCTGAGAAACGCCTTCCGGATT